ATATATATATATATATAGAGATGGTCGCCCCCCTGAGCAGCTGTTTGAGCTACCTAGTCCAAACGACTTGGAACGGGCAGCGATCCCGTTTAGTGTTGAGGCCGTTGATGGATCATCTGGTGCAGCCGAGCCTGAGGCTCTTCAGACCGGGGAAGCATCCTTGGTGGATGAGGAGGAATTGGTCAAGAACCCGGAGGGATTAAAGGACCTAGTGCAGCACTTAAGAGACCCGGTAGAGCAGGTTGTGCTACGGTATGTGATACCACTAAAGGGTAAGTCCGGACCTGATGTCACCGAGGGGTTGCAGAAAATGATCTTGGCCATTAACGCTAAGTTTCCCGTTAAGGTCCTGCACACAGACCCTGGGACGGAATTTATGTCCAGTACTCTATCCAAGTGGCTCGCTAACCATGGCGTTAGAGTGCAACACTCGCTTCCTACGGATAAAAAGGGCAACGGGTTAGCTGAAAGGACGGTTGGCTGGGTGAAGGCTAGAATAAGAACACTGATAGGATCATCAGAACTGCCAATGCACTTCTGGCCGCTCGCTGCTAGATGGGCAGCTGAGGCGCACAACCGCACCGTGCTTGGACAACCAAGGTTACCGATGTTTGGCCAGCAGGTACTTCATCGTGTGAAGCAGCCCGCCGACGGCACAAGGCAAATCCTGAATAGGTGGATAGAGGCACGCTACGCGGCACCGCATTCGAGCATACCCGAGGGCCACGTGTTGGTGACCAGGGAGGGTAATTTGGTTGCATCCCGAGGTTTTAGGGCCGACACAGTAGATCCCGAGAAGCTTGAGGGCGTTAATGTGCCAATAGTGCAGGAGCTTGACGAGGAAGCGTCGGTTCAGGAGGAGGTTGCTGTACAACAGGGCCCAAACCCCGAGCGAAGATTAAGATCGAAGACTACTGTAAAGTTCGTGGAGTGTACTTCCGAAGATGATCCTGAGTCGTACGCCCGTGATTGCATTCTACAAGGTTTGTACACAAGGAAGGCGCTAAAGGGTGTCCTAAGTAGACTGCCAAGAGATATGATGCAGCATAGCGACCGAAGAGGCATGCCAGAAACCCGGTTTGTGTTTGGAGCTTACTGTCATGGCGGTTTGCGTGGGTTGACCACGAACACCAAGAAGTTTCCCCTCACCACCAGGTTTCTTAACGAGTGTATGAGCTTAACTCTACGCACCCAAGGCGTGACAGATGACCCCACCTGGACAGCCCTGCTCATCACCCGGGCTTCGGATGTGAGCGTGCATAAGGATTTCAGAAATGAGTGGGGATCGCTCAACCACGTGTTCGCGGTCCCAGGAGCGGTGGAACTGTGGAGGTCACCTTCTGACGATATGAAGAGAGAAGGGGACCTGCAGCCAGACTGGTCTTCGGGCTTAGTGCACGATTTGAACGATTCTGCCTGAAGCTGCAATGCCAGGAATCCCCACGCAGTCCGGAAGCATTCAGATTGGATTTTAGTAGCCTATACACCCCTTGGTTCGGCAAAGCTCGGAGAAGAAGACTGGGCTAGGTTGCAGGGCTATGGGTTTAGAGTGCCTCCAAGGGAAGTTCCTGGGATAGTGCAGGTTAAGGCAGTGTCACCAAGCGCAGGATCGTGTGGCCCGGCAGAAGGAGAGGAGGGTAGTAATACTGAGAGCTCTGGAGGATCGGAGTTTCCTCCTCCCGTTCAGGGTCCATTAGAGGCGGACTGTCAGCAGGATTCGTACACGACTACGATAGGCTGGGACGTCACCAATGGCCCCGGAGATTATCCCAGGTGGGACCTGCAGAGGACTGACCTCTTCATGTATTTACGAGAGCGATATGCGGAGCATGAGCTTGAGAGGCTCTCCCAGCATGGAGTCGAAGAGCCATCTGACCTTCCCTTTCTATATGAAGAGGACTTGCTTGAAATGGGAATTCCTACCCAGGTCGTAAGGCGCATTATGTTTGGCATCCATCCACCAGGAACCATACGTCCCGATAGCCCAGCGATGCTAGGCCAAAGGACAGGTGAAGTGAGGATGTTCGACCGCACGCAGCGCCAAATTCCATGGGTAATTCAGAATAGGACCCTAGCTCAGAGAAGCCCCCGCCCGCCAATAGAGGGTTTAGGGGTTCGGGACCCAGAGACAGGGATTCCGCCTGAGGTAGGTGCCAGGGGCCGATGGGACGTTCCTGAGGAGATTGGTGCAGACCCAACGGATTCACCCAGGCCACAGGTCCAGGAGGAGCGAGCCTCCTCGTCCAGCGAACCATGGAAGAGGCCTCATGCAGCAGATCGGGCCACAGAAGAGCAGTTGCATATGATGTATATGCAAGCCATGTGGGATGATGATGATGATCCAACTGTAAATAATTGGCCCCCTGCCGCATCTAGCTCAAGCCCCAGTGTTGCAGTGAATCGGGTGCCTGCCCAGGTTGCCGGTGATGCTGCAACTAGCCCGTGCACCAGCGCAGCTTCAAGCAGTGCATTCGTCCAGGCAGCAGGCCCTGCCGTGTCAACTTCAAGCAGCTACCAAGTAGTAAACTATCCAGGAGTTGATGTTCAAGGCCAAGGTGTTACTAGTGGCAGTAATGATAATGTTCCGGAGGAGATTCGTGCAGATCCGACGGATTCATCCAGCCACAGGTCCGTTTTAATTATGAGTGCAGGACAGTCAGGTCTAGTGGTCCTTGTTACCGCTGTGAGTGCAGGACAGTCAGGTCAGGTGGTCACCAAGGCGGCATACCAGTAGGAGCAGCCACTGAGGAAGCACCGTGTGACACCCGTGCCAGCCCAGGACCCCTAAGGATAGGAGTTCCCCTGGATGACCCGTTGACCGCATTAGGGTCCACTAAGATCCCTGATAGTGCAACCCGTGTGAGCCGAGTTGAGGAGGCAATGTACACTCCGAATGTAGAAAGATTGCTGGAGTCATTGACCAGCCCGTTAGAGGTAATTCATAATGTAGCACCGGCAGAGGTGCGTGAGCATCTAGAGCGCTGGCGTCAGGCGGCTGAAACTGAAGTGAAGTCTCTTGAGACGCTGGGTGCGATAAGACGCCTTAAGGGACGTGAAGCCAGAGAACTGTTGAGGGATGGAACTGTAGAAACAGTCCCGGCCAAGGCAGTGTGCACCATTAAGCCAGGGGCACCCTATAAGAGGAAGATGAGAGTGGTGTCCTGCGGCAACTATGCCACAGGAACTGACGAAGCTTCTCTCTACGCCGGCGGGGCCGGCGCGGAATCCCTGCGCGCGCTACTGGTGCACGGCGGGCGACGTGGACGGCGGTGCTTTTGCACTGACATAAAAACGGCGTTCCTGCTTGCGCCGATACCGGCGCATGTGTCAAGGCGATATGCGGTTAAGCCGCCGCGTGTCCTAATCGAGCTCAACATCTGTGATCCGAGCGAAATCTGGCTGATCCAGAAGGCTCTTTACGGATTCCGTGAATCGCCCAAATGGTGGGCAATCCACCGTGACAGCGTGCTCGAGACCGCACAATGGTCCTCTGGAGGCGAACATTTCCACCTCCAGCAACTGCGGAGCGAGAGTAACATCTGGGCGATTGTTTCCAGTTCCGGCGCCTGCGCAGGACATTTGCTCATCTATGTCGACGACCTGTTGTTGGTAACCGAGGAATTTATAGCTTGTGACTTTGTGAAGTGGATTAAGGCCCGATGGGATTGCACGGAGTTGTCCACTGCCACAGAAGACAGCCCGTTGAAATTCCTAGGGGTCGATATCTACGAGGTTAGAGACAAGCACGGCTTGGTTGGCTTCCGTCTCGGCCAGGAGGGATATATTGATGAGTTGTTGAGGAGCCACGACGTCGTCGCTAGCGCCAGAGCTACAACGCCGGTCCCCAAGGATTGGGTTCGGGAGGCCCCTGAGGCCGAGCAGTTCTCGCAGGCGGAGCTCAGGTCCGCCCAGCGAATAACAGGCGAATTACTTTGGGTGGCTCAGCGCACGCGCTTGGACCTGGGTTTCTGTGTTGGGCTCATGTCGAGTTGGACGACGAAGGCCCCTTCGCATGTATCGAAGATTGGAATGCGTGTGCTGCAGTTTCTGGCGGCAACAAAGACTCAAAGGTTGTCACTAGTGCCCGGAAGGGCCAATGGCTTAAGCATGTACTCAGACGCATCGTTTGCTCCGTACGGGGATCATAGCATTTCTGGCATACTGCTTCAATATGATGAAGTTGGAGTGGTGTGGAAATCCCGCAAGCAGACGCTGGTGACGTTGAGCACAGCTGAAGCAGAGCTAGTGGCAGCGTGCGATGCCGTAGTACTGGGGCAGTCCCTTGCCGCGCTAGTTGATGAGCTAGAGGGCACATCCACGAGTAAGAGGTTACTCGTAGATAATGTTGCTGCTATCACCTTAGCGGAGGGAGGAGGCAGTCAAAGGACGAGACATATGCGTGTGCGTGCGAGCTTCCTTCAGGACATGCAAGCCCGCGGCGAGCTCATTGTCGAGCACTGCCCTGGGGAAGTCCAGCTCGCGGACTGCTTAACTAAAGCACTGCCTAAGCCCCGCAATGATACTTTAAGTAACCTTGTTGGACTAGGACCCAGAGGCCCTGAGACCGAGGTAGCCCAGGTTCTTGCCAACCCAGTAGAATCCCCACTCGAGCCAGTAGCCAATGATAGGGAACCTGAGCAGCCAGCGGTGCCCATGCAGGCTAGGGTAGGTCTTGTGCTTGTGCTGCTGCTGCTGCAAGCTGAGCTTGGCGAAGCAACCAGCCCTGTGTCTGAAGACCTCACCGAACCGTTGGGTGTAGAGTTATCCCTGTTGTTGGTGATGATGACCTTAGCCATGCTGTTTGTGTGGGAGTCGTCCAAGCAGTGCGTTCGTGCGTGTTGCACGCGTCGTTTGGATGGTGAATATGGAGTGAGAGCCGTGACGGCAGATGACAGTAACGATGAGCCGTCTAGCCGCAGAGGGAGACGCCAGCAGGCGGTTAGAAGGGCTATTGAAAGGGAGGTTCAAGACGAGGGATTGAGGCTTAGGCGTCCGATTGACGAGCCGGATCATGGCACTTCGGGATTGAGCTCGTATGTGCACGTGTCAGTTGACACTTCCGCAAGCTCGAGTAGGCAGCAGCCTGACCTCCACCCAGCATCTTCTCCTACTGGTGTGATACCACCACCACCTCCACCTCCATCTCCTGGATTTGGGAGTGGAGGGTTTCCATCACGGGACTTGATGACCAGTCCCTCTGCATCAAGGGGTAACCCAACTTCCTCCTCCACGGGTGAAATACCTTCACCTCCGCCTGCTCCTCATGATGGATTTCAACGGTTTGGCTCATCGGAGTTAGAAGGTACTAGACCAACGGGAAGGAGGGATGCATCTACACAGACAACCCAAGAAAGGGGGTTTGACTTTCAAGAATTGTGCGAGCTCCACGTAATTACCACCACAGGCAGAGGACCTGGAGCATTGCACTTGTTCCCTGGGTGTCACGCACTGCGTAATTCTACCACTCATCAGAGGATGTTTTGTAGATACTGCTTACAAGCGGCGCGTGAGACTCGAAGGGGCCAGTCTTCCATCCTTTAAGGATGATGCGACTGAGGAGGAGTGTAGAAGTGCGGCCGCTGAGTCGTCTTCGCAAGCCACTGAGGCTGAAGAGGAGCAGAGCTCCATGTGAACAGCAATTGTGCATGAGTTTAGACAGATAAGACACAGCCGCATAGCAGCTAGTCTAGAGGACAGCTTACATGTTGTGTCTGAGCAGAAAAGGAACTTAGCAGGTGAGCGCCATGTCCGATGTGTGTTGTCTCTGGTGATTCTGGAACGATACATTGAAGATTAGCATGGCCACTGCCGAGTCGAGCCAGACCCTCAACCCAAATGAAGGCGACGTTCCCCATGATCAACAAAGGTCTATATACCTTATAGAAGCCTCATCGAAGCCCTATATACCCTAAACTCCCCGCCTGCAATGGCTTCAGGCCTCGGACAGAACAACAAACTTAATTAATCTGGAAAACCCTAACCCCGGGCCCAAACCTAGATGCCCGGAGAGTCCGAGTGCGAGCGCCGAAAACCCCAAGATGCAGGCAAGTCATGTTGAAGTGGAGCTCCGCGTGGGCCCAGCAATCCCTGCTTGAAGAGCTTCCTGTCGACAAGCAGAACTTGACTGCTGTACAGGAGCTTCTGGCTTAAGCTCCCATACGGGTAGTTTTCTAAATTCGGGTCCCTTTTAGGATCCCTTTTTATATGGGTGCCGTACTATATTGGGGACTTATAAATTGGGACCCTAGTTTACAGGGATTCCAAGGGTAGATTCGGGAGAGCTGGAGGTGCCCCTGAAGGCTTCCTCCTGACAGGGCCGAAGGAGTCTACAGACGGGGGGTTTCCGAAAGTTTGGGACCCTAAACTAGTACCCGAAATAGTCGGCTCCGTATCATTATAGGACCCCAAAATAAGGTACTCTAATTGTCGGGAACTCCCAGATTCGATTTGTACCGTTTGGTCATCCTGGGAGAGTGGGGGGTAGGGTTTTGAATGATTGTGTAACAGTACGAGCTTGTTGCTAATTGGGGTTTAGGATTGAGGGTTAGGGTTTTGCCGCCACCATCCCATGGTTACCACCCTAAACCCGGAACTCCTACACCCGAAACTCAAAAATCCAATAAACCTTAAGCCCCCAACCCTAAACCCTACGACTGCCTGCAGCCGGGTTCACTACAAGGACGACCTCTCCTCCCTTCATCTCAACGTCACGGCCACGCAGGGCGCGGCTGTAGCGATCCTGAGAAGGCGCAGATGAGATTAAGGCCCCTACATTATAGCGGCTGGGGTCTGAAGGGAGTTTGGGTTCCCTGCCTCTTTTGGATCCAAGGACCGATGCCCCTCTAAGCAGTCGGGTAGCTTCAGATTCAGAGTTTCAGGGCTTCTGACGGTGTAGGCACTGTAGGACAGCAGAGAGCAAGACTTTGTACGCCGAACTCGAAGCTCCGCGACCCCCGGTGAGGAAAAAGCTCCGGGAACCTCGGAGCCCCAAGCCGAGCCCTTGCAAGAAGGCTGGACCTCGACTTCATCATGAAATCCTTCCTATTCGTCACCGGTGCCCTCCTGGCCGCCTACGTGTCATCGCTCATCTGTCAGCTGATGTACACCGCCCGAGAGCAGTTCGCTCCTTTAGAGGCGTCGATTTCCGGTGGCTTGGGTTTTTTTTGTTGGAGGATTTTGGGGTGGGGTGGTGTAGAAACTGCACGTAGCGCTTATGGGGTTTAGGGCTTGGGGCTTCTGGGCTTTATGGCGTTATAAGGTAGTGGGCAGCGTAGGGTTTGGGGTTTAGGGGTGTGCCGCACCCTTTGCTGGGTGCTTTGTCGGAGGACGACGAGCCCACTTCCCCAGAGGAAGACCGGGAGCTGATACGAAGGGTCTTGCGAGCGGCGCCCGAGAGCGCCCTGGTAGAACTCCAGAGGCTAGGGGTTCCAAAACCTGAAGGGTCATAGGTACTATTATGGGGGATACTTTCCCAAACCATAATAACAATTCCTAATACAGAAACCCTACATTCTACTATAATAGGTACTTTGGACCCTTTGGGAAAGGGTTTAGCAGAAGGTCAGGGTACGGCGGCTTCCCTTTCTTGAAGGGCCCCAGGCTCCCTTATAAAGGGAGGGGGCGATTCATCAGGGGTCTGAATGGATTGTTTGATGCATCTCGGTGCCCCTTGTCAAGGGAACTCAGCGTCTAAGAACACACAGTCGCCGGTGCTCAAGCATAGTTCTAAATCTTTCTTTTGCGGCGTGAGTTGTCCCCGATAAACCCTAAACCCTTATGTTCATGTCTGCGGGTTTGCAGCCCCATCTTTTTGTTTATGTCCGGGCCGTGGAGGTTCGATGTTGTTCGCATTTGGAAGTTCTGATATTCGCTCTGAGACCCCAAACCCTGAACCGTGTTATGGTGCACCCGTTTCTGTTTTGGTGAGAAAGGGTCTGGGTTGTTTTCGGCTTGTCGAACCGGCAGGGAAGTTAGTACGCTCTCTTGTTGTCAGATGCAATTCTGGATGCTTGAGAGCCTTCCTGACGCTGCCACATGTGGCGCAGAGTCAGAATTCTTCTGCTGGCAACGTATGCACTCCTGTACCTACGGGATCCTACGGGCAGTTGCAGAAAGTAGGCATCTAGATGCCTAAGCAGCAATCCCTAGACTTAGACCAGTTAGCCAGTGGCGAGGTGATGGTTGGCCGCTTGAGCTGGCACCAGAGGCAGTTGATGGGTCTGCTAAGCCACGGCTCCTGTGAAAGTATCGAATTTTATGGAAGGTTTATTCGTCGGGCCATCCGTAAGTCTGCTCACATTGGGAGGTTAAACTAAAATTCAAGACTCCGCCGGCATAGACGCCAGGCAGTGGAAGAGCACCAAGCAGCCCAAGCCCGCAAGTACCCAAGAACCATTCCAGACCACCCCTTGAGCATCCAAACCCCGAAACCTTCCAGATCTGTAGCTTGGAGTTCTTTCAAAGCTTTCCTCCAAGACTCGAGCATCGCTTACGTCGTTGGGCTGCTTAGGATTTTAGGATTGTTTGAGGGCTTGTAAAGCCTTAGTGCCCTCAATCCAATTCTCCATCCTAATTGAACCCCACCCCCAACTCCCACAACTCCCAAACCCCCTCCCCCCCCCCCACACGGTACACTTGAGTCCTGATCTCCCCACATGCGCCCCCAAGCGCTACGTCATAAAGTTCCAACGACTGAGACAGGCGATGCAGGGATCATCTGTCACTTGGGGTCAGTTTTGTTTTGCCGGGTCTTTCCCATACCTGAATTAAGGGTCCTAATCGTCTTTGCTCAGTATGGGTTTTATCGGCCTAAAACTCCCGCTTGTTGGTCCAGGAGGCCTGCACCATGAGCATGGACAGCATCTACGCGAGGCCGGTGTCCGGGCACGGGATGTCCTACCCAAACCCGCTTTGCCCCTTCCCTCCAAATCCGAGGATTCCGGATTCCTCTTCAATGTTGTAACACACGAAACAAACCCTACGCTCTGAAATTGACGACCTGTTTTTCTCGGTAGAGCTCATGCAGTACGCCGAGCCGCATGAATAGACTGGACATGACTCGAAAGTCCTGAGAGTCAGAAGCCGTGTGATCGCTGGGAAAGGATGCAATGCTTTTCCGTTGGGTTCCCTGGTATAACCATACTATGCCGAACCACAAACCCTGCTCAAACCCTAAACCTTAAACCCTATCAACCCTATAAACCCTATAAGCCCTATAAGCCCTAAACCCTATAAGTCCTAAGCCCTAAACCCTATAAACCCTAAACCCCATAAACCCTAAACCCTATAAGCCCTAAACCCTATACCCTATAAACCCTAAAACCTATAAGCCCTATAAACCCTAAACCCTTTAAACCCTATCCTATAAACCCTAAATCCCTCAACTCTAGAAACCCTCAACCCTATTTCCTTACATTCGCTTGGTATATTTGGAATCCGGGGTTGAGGGTCCTTGTGCCCTTTACCGGCGTCCAAACACGTGCGACGACCCTTCTTTCTTCGAAGTGGAAAAGACCTATGAACTTCAGAGGATGCTGCGTTTGAAGTTTTACAATTACAGGATCTCATGCCCTTACACCCAGCAAGCTGCTGCAGAGGTGAATACTGGGCTTCTTAGGAAGCCTGCTTGAATAACGCAACTAGACGCAACCTGAAGGCCCTAACCTCAGTGAGCCTTTTAACTGCATGAATCTGTATAGCCCCGATGTTGCAGCTTGGAGGGGGCTTACACTTTTGAAGAAAGTAAACTCGAACTAACCGGACAGGATGTCTTTGTACCTCATGGACATGCTTCTCGACGCCTGGCCGGACGATAGAGGTTCAGTGTGGGATTTATAGAACTTTGTTGTCTGGGGTTCAGGGCTCGGGGAGTCCTTCGACTCGTCCTATACGTCTTCGATGGGGTCAGTGTAATGTTGAACTGTTCTGGTTTGTGGCGCGAGGGTGGCTTCTTGCATTTGTTGACGTCATGTTCGGGTGCTCCTTACTT